AGTCAAAGATAGCTTTATATTTATATTTAAAATCTTAAAAAGGATTTTATAAAATCTTGATACAAATTATATCTTTATATCTAATATAATATCTTTGATTAATCCATGATAGCAATAGATGTTGTTAAAAAAAAACTTAGTTATTTCTTTACTAGTGATAGATTTTGTACATGGTACAAAATGTGCCTTTTTGGTTAAATGATCTACTATCATGAATATAGAATCATAAAAATCTAAGACTAGAAGATCCATAATAAAATCCATAGAAATAAAAGACCATGGTTGTTTGAGAATAGATAATGGCTGAAGAAGTCTATAAGATTGATGATAAGGATTTTTTCATCTTAAATAAATGTCACATGATTGTACAAAGTCTTTGACTACTTTTTATATTTGAAGACACAAAAAATCTTTCAATATCAAGTATTAATTAATTAATTTTTTTTTTGAATGTTTAGCTATTAAAAAATTATTTTGAGCTTGAAGAGCACATAATTATATTTTACTTTTTAGAACATATAAGTGGCCTTCAAAATAGAGTAGAATATTTTTGAATTCAAACTTAGAAGTATTATAAGACTTAAAAGAATTATTCTTATTATCATGAATAATAACATGAGAAGGCATACTTAAATTAAGTTCTTTGTAAAAGGTTGAATCAACAGTCAATGTTGATTTCATTGCTTAAAAATAAAAATATTTTGGCTTGAAAAGAATTATTTTTTATTAGTCAAAAATTATATCTTCTTTTTTTGGTACAAGATAAGAATGTTTAGAAAGAATATCTGACAATTTTTTTGTTTCCTTAATCAACATATGAGCTTGAAATCAAATCTTAATAAAAACATGTTTCAGTGGACTTGGCAATAATTTAGAGTATGTATTGATATGAAAAATTTAAGATTCTTGTGATCCATATATATAGTGATAAGATTAGAGATGCGTTCTAAATAATGATGTCATTCTTGAAATAAATCCAAGATTATAAAAAGTCCTTGTTATGAATCTTATAATTGATCTTGATTATTAATTTTTTTTTGGAATAAAAAGCTATTGGATGGAGTTTGTCATCTATTCTCATTTGTATCAATATTTCTTCTAAAGCAAAGTCTGATGCAACTATTCCTATAAAGAATGCCTTAAAAAAGTTGATGCAAAACAAAATTAGTGCAAAAATAAAAGCTATCTTCAAAGCCTCAAAAGATGCTTCAACTTCCTTGCTTAATTCAAGTTTGACTTTACATGTAAGATGTGTAAGAAGAGCCACAACTTGAAAAAGTTCTTAATGAAGATTTACTAAAAATCAGTAAATTTTTATAAATATTACTTATGTCTGATTATTTTTAGGATCTTTTAATCTACAATAGTCTTAATCTTCTTAAAATCTATCATAAGGTCATCATTTGAAATAATTTATACTAAGAATTCAACTTGAGTGGTATAAAATATACACTTTTTTATCTTGGCATATAATCTTATATTTCTAAGTTTTTGTAGTATGTAACAAATATGAAATTTATGTTCTTCTATATTTTTAAAGTAGATTAAAATATTTTCTAGATAACCTACTATAAAATCATCAAGAAATTCGTAAAAGACATCATTTAATAAATGTTAAAATATAACTAATATATTTTTGAGTCCAAAAAATATAGTATTATATTTAAATTGCTCATATTTAGTTCAAAATATATTCTTCTATTCATCTTTATTTATATATATATATATATATATATATATATATAGTTGTATGCTCTTTTTAGATCAATTTTTATATGGATTTTTCTTTGATTTAATTGATGAAGAAGTCTTAAAATCAAAGATAGAAGATACCTATTATTTTATGGTGATCTTATTGAATCTTTAAAGATTATATATATTTGCAAAGATCTATTTTTTTTCTTTACAAATAACATAGAAATTCTTATTGGAGATTTAAAATGGATTATGAAGTTTTTAGTCAAGTTCTTTTAAATGGATTCCTTAAATGCAACCAACTTATTTCTTGATAAACTATAAATTGGTCCAAAGGGTGATTGAGCTTTATCTTGAAGATCAATGGAATAATCATAGGAAAAATATTTTGTGATTTTTTGGTTCTAAATCATCTTCTATTATAAAATAATATGAAGAATTTAAAAAGAAAATATGGCCTTTATTAATTAGAATGCAAGATTCCAATTGTATAGTCTTTATTGCAGCTACAATTTTTTTTTTCCAACACATTGTCTTCTTTCGCAATTGTACTTCTTATTTTGTAGTTGTTTTCTTTCTTTATACAATGTTGATTAATAAGCTTAAGTTCTTCAAAATATAAGTATGAACCTTCTTAACAACATTGATTTTTTTTATTGTTCAATAAGAAGCTTGAAATATATTGCATCAATTTGCATAAATTTTAGTCTTAATGATTTAGTTTTTGTGAACTTAGAGGCTGTCGCCATGGTTTGATTTGTACTTCTTTAGCTCAATCTTTATTCTTAGCATCTTTCAAAGAATTGATTGTCACATATAATAGCTTAAGTAATAAATTCTTCTAACAAATCTATTTTTAATATTTTAAATCATAAACCTTTAAAATTATCTTTTAATCTTTATCAAAATTGGTTGATAAGGGATTTATCATTCTAATCTATATTATAAAGAAGATTTTAGAATTCTATAGCATATATAGTAGTTAAACATGATATTTGTTGTAAAGATACAAGTTTAGCCTTTGTTATCTTTTTTCAATCATTTTCTTGTAAAATAGTTATAGATACTTATAAGAATGAATTCAAATCATAAAGAAGACATGAATCTTTTTTCATCAAAGATACAAACTAAAAGAGAGTACTCTTAGAAAAAAGTATACCTATGAATCCAATTTGATTAAATCTATTAAAGTATCAAAAAGGATGCAATCTTAGATAGAACTTTATTTATTGTAAAAATCTTTGAAATTTTGATCTTATTCCATTAAACTTCTTGGGCATGTTTATGTTTGCTTCTTTCATACTTGGAGTAGTAAGATTTCATGGATTTAGTTATAAGCTTAAGTTTTTTGCTTCTCTCAATTGCACAACTTTTTGGCATAGATCTTGAGTTTTATTATGGACTTCTTCCATAGGTGTCAGAATACTACCTCCATGGTTGATATTAAAGATACATAAGATTTCCACCTTTAGAGTACTAAGAAGCTCATAAAGATCTACAATAGTTACAAATGTATTCTCACTTTTGCCAAGAATAATATCCATAATTTTTCCTTCCATAGATAACTCAAACAAATCTATAAGTCAAATTACATGAGGATTAATTAGAACCTCTAATATCAAATGAAAGTTTCTACAAAAAAAGTTATTCTACTCTCTTTAAGGAAAACAATCACTATCATAAAACTAAATTATTAATTTAATAATGGATAGTCCGTAATCTTCAAAATTCAACAATAGAAATAAGATAATCTATTTACTTTTTATAAAAAATAAAGACAATGAGTTAGTGCTCTTGTTAAATTATCAAGAGCATGCATCTTAAAGAACTACAAGATTAATACTCTTGAGTCACTTAAAAAGACTAAAAAATCACTCAAAGATAGTAATATATTGAACTAGAATGACTATTGCTAAAGACAAGAAGATTAGAAAGTCTTGGAATAAGACTAAAGACTAAAAAGGCATTAATAAGAATGAAGAAGGCTTCGCTCTTACTTCCACATATATTATCCAACTAAGAGCTACATAATAACATCCTATAAGACCTCTAATACTTATCTAATTTATAAGATATATGTCTAAACTTGTAAGATAAGTTTCTTATATGGATGCCATATCATTAGCTTGTATCACAAGCTACTTACATGTGTAATCCATAACTAACTTGTTGACTAAGTTTCTAACCTATAAATCAACTATAAACATGTATAAGTCAAATATGCATCTATGAAGCTTCTAAAAAGCTATACTATAAGATAATATTAAATCTATCTATTATTACCTTCTATCTAGTACTTCTTATCTAAGTAAATATGTTTGTTAGTGATATTTTCTTGTAGAGAGAGAAGAGACCTCATGATGCCCAACAATTGTTTGAAGCAGCACATAAAGAATGGAACCTCATAAATTAATACATTATCAATAAATAGATAGATGAAATTCATAGAAGATTGTAGGCAATTTTTAATGCAAATGAAGATTATACTTAATGGTAGTGAAAGTTAGATGGTACACTTGTGGTTATGTAAACTTTGTGAATATATGAGCTTGTATATAATTATAAGCTTCACAAAAGCAAACTTGTTTTTTATTGGCAAAGGTATAAAGAATTATTCTACATAATTATTTTAAGTTTATAAAAATAGTAAGAAGATTTTGAAATATTAATATTATTAATAAAATATTGGATTTTTAAGAATTAATATTGATTATAATAAAATAATTATAAAGAATACATGAATTAAATTACCAAATAATCTATTTTTTAAAAAAATTATTCTATCAACTACAAGTATGTTTACAATATGTTATATTGTGAAGTTTTCTTCATGAGCTTCAAATTTGATACCAATATGATGATTTTCTTTAAAAAATATATTCTTTTATATTCCATTAATCTTTTTTTTTCTTTTTTTTCTTTTTTTTTTATAAATAACTTCAATAAAGTTTACAAAATTTGCAAGATACATTAACAAATTCAACTAGAAAGATTTAATTATTAATTATTAATATCATAGTCTTTTCAAATTAATATGCATTATAAGTATCAATGCAAAGTACATGAATAAAATATAATTTTTTATCTTGTAATCTATTTTTTAGCCGATTTCAAATGAAAATTTTGGATTGCAACTCATTTTATATGTTTTACAAATACAAAAATTTGATCTTAATCCATTTTCTTTGTTGAGTTTAACAATAGCAATTGACTCAAAGATGAAATTATTATTCCTATTTAAATTCACAGAATTCAAAAACAAAATCTAAATAATTGGTAAGGTCTTTTATGTGAATCCGTGAGAATATGGGTAAATTGACCATGTAGCATTCCCCTAACATTGATGGCTCAAATTGCAGTGTGCAAAGTTACCAAAATTTTGTACACAATATCGTTCAATAAATATTGCTACACCCCTTGCAAGATAACAGAGAGATGCGAATCAGAATATTTTGTGCTACTTTCTTGCTATGAATGAAGTCTCAAGGTGAAAACCATCAGACTTTGTTGCAGCCCAATATTGATCATTCTTCATATCTTGCAAGACTTGTATGGCTTCTTCGTAAGTTGCGTCGTGCTCAACGATCAGCACTGATGATTGCGTTTCTTCCCAGCACGAAGTGTTGCAATCAAGAGTGAACAGACCTGCTCTCAGATGGCACCCATGAAAGTTCACCTCGAAAAGCTCAAGTAGAGAATTCATGTCTCACAGAAACAACAACAAAGCAAACGAGTCCACTGCATGAGCACTTATTCAATGCCATTATGGCACATGTGCTCTTTTAATCTTCTGGGTGATGACTTGACCCAGCTTAAGCATTGATTGCTGTGCAGGCACTTACCATCTCTAGACACCATTTCGCTTGGACTTGCACATCTTTGAGTACCTCTGCAACGTCTTCAATGCCAGTGTTTGGTGGTCCGAGTGATGGAGCTTGAATATCAAGCACTGAGTTTCAGATACCAGAATTAACACAAAAAGTTAGCAATGTCATAGCAGTTTGCTTCATAGGATGTTGAGTCGGTACTGACGACGTTGTGATCCTGAGAGAGTGAACCCAAGCTTAATTGGATCACGAAAAAACATCCTCCATCCAAAAACCTCATTCAATTGGGAGGTATTGCCTTGAATACTGGCAACTGGGGAAGTAAAGGACTGACAGTGCAATACAAAGACTAAGACATGAACCGTGTTCCTAACACGCAATATAGAAGTTGAATACTGTTCTGAGGTCGGACAAACATCTGCTTCAGACTGGATACGAGGGAAAGGAAACAATCGCGGCACATGAGAGATGTCATGCCGTTAAAACTGAACACAAGACACATCCTAAATAGGCATAGAATCGTGAAACTCATTCTGAACGCAGTCGTGTGTAAGGTGGGGAAAAAAGTGGTACCTCGATCTCCAAGGTAGGCATTTCGTTGAACAACGCTCTCAGAAGTCTTCAACGGATATTAGCTCGCTTACGCTGCAGATACGGAACTACTCCAGACTGTCGGATTCTCTAAAGCAGGAAAGAAAATTGCTACTTCTGGGCTATTGTGCAACATGTCCAGTGCCTACTTCATTGTAGACACAGTGCATTGCATTGAAAACAGAATTTTCTAAGTTTTTTAAAAGAAGAGGAAAAGGAAAAAACGAATACTGATTGACAATGGGTGAAAGTGAACAATGGAAAGCCCTAAGGTTGTCGTCCTTGTGGTGAAAGGTGTCACCAAGCAGAATTAGTTGGTTGATCGGATTTGATCTGATGTGCAAGCTTTGACATGATCCTCCGCCAACTTCTGAATGGTTCTCTTCCTGTCCGCAGGACTGAGCTCATGGATGTTCACGGGAGGCCCAAGCAATAGAGGAGATTCCGGAAAGTTGTAGCTGCAGCGCCGCTGTGAACTGCAGTGATACTTCCCCGCATCAAATGCAAGCGCAGCCTCTTTTTCTGTATCGAAGGAGCCAAGCCATACTTTCTCGTTTGTCTGACCAACCCTGATCTCAGATACCCATTTCCCATTTCTTCTCCGAACTCCCCTGTACAATTGGCTGCGGTTTTCTCCAAATCCTCTGTTTCTCTTACGCACTATAGCCCGACCCTGCAATAAACGATTGAAAGGAGGCGTTAACATACGACAAGATATCCTTAAGTGATAAACGGAGGGAATATAGACGAGAACTCTTACCGGCGGAATTTCGTCCACTCTTCTTCTTCTTATAAGTCTTGAAAGTTTTCGGCAGGCGCAAACGATACGCACCATGACCCGCCAGCCTAGCTCTGTTGAGGCTTGGTGAGGCCGTGTCAATGCCTCTTCCGCGCCGAGTTCAAAAAATTGTTTGAACCACTGCAGTCGAGCTTCAGGGGTTAATGGCATAGTGGAAGCTTCTCCCGAGTATCTCGTGTTCATGCTCCTCATGATGTCGGTATTCAGATGAGACGATCCTTGCTGTTCCGACTTCGGTAAATCCAGCTGCAGCCATTCCGAAATGGCATCATTCTCCGTTTCTGCATAATCGTCAACGGACAATGGATTTGAGTCGAATGAATTCGTATGATCCAACCGCGGCGTCGGTAGTTGTTGCTGACCATTTAACGATGCTTCCGTTGTGCCGACAACTGGAGAACCCGGCAGCGCCGTCGTGACAAAATCGCCTCTGCCTTGCGTGAGATGGAATTGTTCACTTTGCGCATACATTCCCGAGTCCTGTTGGAATGTGGAGGGAACCACTGGACAAATTTCAGGCACAAAACTTCGATCACCTAGTTGGAATGGGGGTGGGTTTTCAATCTGCTCTTGTCGAAAAAGAGCCCAATAATCCTCCGAAGATGAGGAGTCCAAGTGCAGCGAGTTGTTCTTTGACGTATGACTACCTTCAGTGCTGTAGCAGCTATCCGGCCACTCATTAAAATCATCTTGTGATGCTGGATTTGGAGGTGCCGGCCCCCAGAACTGTTCGTAAAACCTTTTCCATTCGAGTTTCTTCAATCTAAGCTTGTTTTTGAAGCGACCCAGGACGCTAGCCTGCCGCGAGAGCAGCCCCCACCGAGAAGGCTTCTTTTCTATCATTTCTGATGGCTCTAAACCGTCTAACTCTGCATCAAGTGTTCCGGTAAGCGTCAATCAGTAAATATGCAGCTAAACCCTCATAAAATTGTGCGTATCTCAACTCGCAAATAACTAATTTCTCTTTACAATACACAACACGTGCACAACACAATTACCTGGTTAACCTTTTCTAATAAGAGGGTAGACCTTGAAAGAACTTTGGTAACGGCTTAAACTGTCACATTCACATGTAGTTGTCTGTGTGTTGTTGGGTCCTTTGCAATCCTCTGGTTCACAATCCAAACCCATGGCATACTGTGACGTATTAAAAATACATGTATATATATATATATATATATATTTGTGTGTGTGTGTGTGTGACACAGATACACAATAGAAGGTTTTAAAGATTTAGCCTTCAAGTTGCTATACAACGGGGCAATAAGTCCAGCGTCCGTACAAACGATATTCCAGAGACAAATGGGTCATAACCTACCTGATGTGGAAAGGAATGAATATGAAGTATGGAGAAGATCCGTTTCTTGAAAAGCTGAGAAACGTCCAGAAATGCCCTTGACAACCCAGTGGATGGACAAAAAAACTTCAATTCTTCGAGACTCTGTGGAACCGAGAACTTTGTCACGTGTATGGATTTCTGGTCAAACACAAAGAGGAAAATTACGGACCACCACCAAGCTTATATGTTTGCACTAAGAACCAAATCCCTGTTGAATCATACCCAAAGATAAAGAGGAAAAGAATCTCATGCTTCGAAAAACCTAAAACCTCTTCAAAACTCTCTCTGGGACATGCATTCTGGCAAAAAAGAAAACTCTAAGCAAAGCAAAAAAACTAATGGAAACGCAGACTTTTCACTGAAAGCAACCAACAAAAGCACCCATCTGCACTCTCAACTCAACTGGATCATAGGCAAATCCACCTCCACACAATTACCGCCAAATGCTGTAGACATCGACTTTTCTAGATTGAATCAACCAGGACGTGATCAGCCCTGTTTCCTTGAGCAACAACTAATTCAGAGCTACGTGCTCTAAACCTCCGACATTAATTCCGACTACATCACTGAACATCTTCACGCGACAATTCCCTTCTCTTGGCGAGTTACTACCATGACCGATGGCCAGACCACCCGACAAGCAAGAAAATACAAAGAAAACGAAGCCCCAATTCCTCCACCTCCTCTGATCTCCACTTCGCCGCAACAACAGGTGCCCCGAGCAACAGAACCTCACCCCCCGGCGCGTTGGATTAGACTTCACCCCAATTTGGAAGAAAAAACCGACACTCAAAAGTGTCCAGGTGAGTGAAGCCGACTAAGTGAAAGCAGACGGGGTGCCGCAAGCAATGAACAGGCAACTCCGCGCTGAAGTGAAAAGTGGGCGTGAACATCGAAACTTAACCATGGCTAACAGAGTTTCTCCGGGGCCAACCGTTACGTGGCTGCTTTCACAGATTGGCCGACTTTTCCAGAGCGGAACACAATTTATGTTTGACTAATACGGAAACTCATAAGTCCTGTCAGTGCAAGCACTCGGAAAGTGCGGAAGGTGTAGAGCGCCTCAATTCCTACCGATTTGCTGAATGTATTCTATAGTTTAATCGAACACAAGAATGCCCTCATCCGTGATGCATTCTCAGAGACTTCGGGGCTGACTTTGGAGCTGCTGTCAAAGGAAGTTGATACTCACATGGTGATAAGCTGCACGCTTCGTCGACGTAGCCGGGTTCTAGAAAACACAGACACTGCTCGTGAAAGTTCATGGATTTACTGATCAGAAGTTGCGGCAAAACTGGATTCTGATGAGGCAGGCACACTGTTGAATCTGACCCACCCAGCAAAGTAACTGTCGGAAATGTGCACCATATTGTGAAGTGTTTCAATTTCGTTTAGTGTTTCATTGCTTTGGAGGAGATGTGGGATGTGCTGCGTTGGCTTTATTGTGAAAAGAGTACATTGAATTGTGTAATCGCAACATCACACGCTCATCTCTCACTTGAACAAGATGTACTCTAGACGTGTGACCTTCTGGTGTACTTTATGCTAGTATATTATTATACATAAAATATATGGTATGTGTAATTTTGTGTATATTTGATATTTCCAATTGGTATTCAAGTTCATCCAACTTTTTATTTTTCTCCATGTTGAAGATTTTGTCCATGCAAAAGATTATCTTCGATTGGTGTTAGGATTTGGATTGTTCTATTGTATTTTTGCCTCTTTGCTACAAATTGAACTTGGGTCCACATGTTGGGTTTTGTAAACATCAAATTTTATCAATTTGTTTTAATGGACATAGAGAAAAGGTTTTTTTTAGCTGGTATTTTGTAATTTAATAGTATGTTGTATGCAATGGTCTAGTTTTTATTTTAGAATGATGAAGATTACAAAAGAGAAGCTCATTTGGTATAATCTTAATAACAAGACCTTAATACAAAATATCTTATTTATTCATGTGTTTTTTTTACATTACCTCATATGCAACAAATTATAATGTATATCTATGCTTAGTTACTAAAACAAAATCCATGATCCACAACAGTATTGTTAGGGGGGTGTTTATACCTAAATGCCAACTTTGAGATGTAATTGCCTACACAAAAAAGAATTAAGTATCTGAAAAGAAAAATTTTAAGATCTTTTTTTAAATAAAGTATTTAAATTTAAATTTTTATAATAAATAAATTATATAATGATTTATAATATATTATAAATTAAAACTATTAATTTTATGTAAAAACAACAAATTCTACATTGTATTTTATTCTCGAAGCTTCTGTATAAATTTTCTCTAATAATACTCTTTTATCTTTTTTCCTAAGCTTAAAGACTTCTTTAGAATATTTTTTTAATAACATACATAGATTTTATAAACCAAACTATAATAGCAAGAAGTCAATCTTGAATTGTATAAAAAAATGCTTATTTTATTATAGGTGGCTTATAGAAGCTTATTTTAAAAGACTTCTTCATTGAGCATGAAATCTTGTAATAAGAATTATTACTATTTAGACACATTCTATTTATTTCACATATTTTGATAGAAACTTTTCTAGACAAATACAATATTTGCATCTTTGTTATATATTTTGAAGTAATTGAATTAAAAAAAAAGTTTAAAATATTTAAATTAGAATTTTGTTTTACAATTAGTTTTAATTTTTAATAAAAATCATGCATATGGTTAAGTAAACTTGTTTTGGAGACTTAAAGTTACCTCAATTGCTTAAACAAATACTATATATGTACTATTTTTGTTTATAGATGTTTTGTCTTACTATTTGTTGACTTATATTTGATTGAATTTGTAGAAGGCTTTTCTTTTCATATATTTTTATTTATAAACTTATAAGTAATGTACTTATGAAATAGTAAACATATAATCCTACCTTAAATATATTTGATATAAAATTTTTATATTGTTAAAAGGATTTGATTAAAAAAAAATCACGTAAATTTTAATTGGTAGTAAAAAATAATATTTAACATAATCAACACTAAATAATCAAAAAAATCTCATAACTCTTTTACATGTTTAAATTTGTCAATGATATTATGTATTTTACACTCTAATTTTTTGAAATTTGAACATTAAAAAATAAAAGACTATATATTATGCTTTACTAAAGAATAAACTGTTTTTTTGATGCCAAATTTCTATTTATAACATTATTACTTTAAAAAAAATCTTCTATTTTGAACAAGGATTTTATTTCTATTGTTCAAGTTTTGACGTGATTATATATATTTCAAAAGAACTTTAAAATGTTTTTATAATTTAATATTATAGTGAGTATGAAGTAATGTTTTATATGTGTTCAAAAATTCAAATACAGCAACAATTGATCCGTAATTTGATTTAACAACTTAGAGGAATATTGATAATATATATATATATATATATATATATATATATATATAATTAGCAAAAAATTGGTCGTTTGATAATTTCGTGTTGCTTAAAAACTTCCAAAGTGTATGTAAAAAATTATATCTTTAGATATAATCATACATTTGTTGTTTTAGTTTTAAAATTTTAATAGTTTTCATAAATTCAATATATCTTAAAATATAGCTTTAAATAAATAAGATTTTTACTATTTTTTAAAAAATAAAAATATTTATTAACTTTGTGTATAATTTTTAAGAAATAAAAATAAAAAATAAATAAATAAATAAATATTTTTTAAATATTGAGATTTTAAAAACATAAAAATAATATGAAATTTTTTTTCTTAAAAATAAATAAAATTTATTTAATATTTTATATCAATAAAATATTGATAAAAATATTGAAATAGTTCTTTTTATTATAAATATATTATTTTATTTTATTTTCCAATAATAATTTATAAAAATAATAAAACAACTAAATTTAATTTTTTAAAAAATAACCTAAAAATATTATAAATTTTTTATAGAATATTATTTTTATAATATTTATTTTTAATTATTAGTTATTTGATTTTTTATTTAATAACATTTCTAATTATAGTTGATTTAAGATTATTCTGAACTTATTATGAAAAAGTATGTTTCTCCACTTTGGTAAGTAAAGTAAGTGATTTTGTAACAAATTGTGTTATACTCATTTTTTTTTCCAAAATAGGACTATGTCTTGTTATTGTATTTAGTAATTTTAATATCAAGTCAAATTTTCTTTACATTTTTAAACTTTATAATAAGACTATAAAAATTTAATATATATCTTACATCTATTCTTGAATATATTTTATTTGATAATTATAGTGTCAAATTATAAAATTATTTCAAATTTTATATTTCATGAATATAGTTATTAGTTTATAATAATAAAAACACTTTAATAAAATAAAAATTTATGAATCAAATTTTTGTTCATCAACCTATTAATATTTTAGTATCATTATTAATTATTATATATTATAGATTTTGTTTTTAGAATTATGTAATCATCTTATGAATTATATTAAATAAAGAAGCACCAAAGATGTGTGATTGTTTGTTGTATTATATCTTGATATACTATTACAAAATATGTATTAATTTGGTATATCATATATATTTAATAGGTAATGTGTGAGCAAAATAATAAAAAGAGATGTTTTTTATGAGGTTTTTTAAGCCAACGGATTGATCTTAATTAAAAAAATTCATCTTTTAATTTAAAATAAGCATTAGAGTATATATATATATATATATATATATATATATATATATATATATATAGATATATATATATATCTTTTTAGGTCAATTTTCTATAACTTGATGTTTTTTCTATGGCATAAGCTATTACTTTCAATTTTTAATACTTAATATCCTAAATAGCAATTATGAAGTTAAAGATATATTTTTTTTACAAAGAAGGTGTTATTTTACTACATAAGTCAATTATCTAGAGTAGATTGTATAGGTCTTGGAAGCTCAAATATCATATTATACATTCTATAGATCTTGATGCATTGTAAAATGGATAGGTTTTACAAAATCAAGGAAAATTGTGACAAAGCTAAAAATCATAATTTTTTTTGGGCCAAAAATTTAATAACAAAGTCTTTTCTTACATTTGCATCTATTTGATCCTTTACTTTATATTTTTTTTCTAGCTAGTGCTAACGATTTCTAAAAAACTTATGTATGTTGAATTAACTTCTTTAATTAGATTAAAGAAGAATCAATTGACATGCATTTTATTATACAAAGTGAAATTATAAACTTTAAAATCTCTTCTCTAATAGCTTATTTGTTTGTAATATTGATTAATTCTAAAAAATTTGATAGTCATTGTAATTGTTGACTTTTTTTTTGTTGATTATGTATTGTAACTAGAAGCAATAATAGTGGCATTTAAAGGTAAGTATGATCCAACATCCATATATTGGATACTAAAGATTGTATTTAAAGACAACATGAATACATTTACATTGGTGAAGAAAAAGTTATCAATGCCATTCTAAGATATATTGTCTAAAAGTAGGAAGATATGTCAATCATCTATATATATTTTCCTATCCAAACTTCATATCTATTTGTAAAAAATAAGAATATTCAATCAAGAATTTTAATTGTAGCAATAGTAAAAGTTAAGCTATTTGCTTATTTTCTTTAGAAGTAGTGCAACTTCTTAGAATAATCAATAATAAGTGGTTCTAAATTGTAAAGTCTCTTTGTATTAGCTGAGAATGCTATAGTAAAGTGAGTCTTGCCCTTTTTGGACTCTTCAATTTAATATTATAAGGTAATGTAATTTGGTGTCATTTAATAAAAGAGCCAATTTTCATTTATATTCTAAATATCTTAAATGCCATATATTTATAGCTTTACTTATAGACTTATAAGTTTATTAGTAATAGGAGTACTATCATTAGAGTATTTTTGTTGTATGACTTATATTTCTTTAAATTATGTTATTTTTGAAATATCTATAATCAAC